CATTTTACTGTGGGCTGGAAAATGAAAAAAAGAAAGGATTTTTTTAATCGATTTCTCATTTATATAATTGTGATAAGTGAACATTTTACCGCAGGTTAGGAAAAGGAAAAAAGGAAGGTTTTTTTTAAATTTATTTCTCATTTATATAAATAAGGTAAGTAAAAACTTTTCTGTAGGCTAGGAAAAAATACAGAAACGTTTTTATTTAGTCTATTTCTCATTTATATAAATGTGATAAATGAAGACTTTGCTGTAGGTCAGGAAAAGAAAAAAAGAAAAGTCTTTTGAATCCAGTTATCATTGATAGAATCGTTGATATAAATGATATAAATCAATATATATTAATAGTTTTTTTTTATTATTTATTTTCGAAATGGAAATAATCTTCTGAATATTCATTTATATTATAAGTTGAATTAGACATCGCGTGAAGTATGCATTACTTCGTTTCTTTGCTTTCAATTGCTTAACTTTCGACTCCATCAACTGTAATTTCGTTTTGATGAGACACATAAGAATTAATCTTCATAAGAGTTACTCCATGATTTAAACAATTACTAAAATCGAAAAAATTAAAAAAGAGACAACATAGTGTGAGTATGGAACTAGCGAAAAGACTAAATGCTTGCATTTGAGTTGAAAAGAAGTTTGTTTGTTGAAATAAAAATTTTGCTGAGAAATAAATCGCGTAGAAAGGAGTTAGTCGATACAGTTAAATCAATAGTATAGTTATATGAAAAGATTCTTGGTACACTGTGTCCCATACATACAATCAAAAGGCCAAATTGGCATTTAAACATTTGAATGCGTCGTTCGTAAAAAATGTTTGAATTTATCATTGACAATTCGTTAAAACAGTAGAAGTTTCAGCAAATGTTAGCGTTAAAACGTGGAAAAGTGTTACAGATCGTTAAGTGTTTAAACACGGTTTTGGCGAAAAATTCAATATTTTCAACGAACTAAACATTTCGGTGTTTAAACGCTGTTTTTACCGTTTCGTTGTATGCTTGGGGTTCTAATAGACATCATGTATTTTCTAGAAGATCGATATCATGAATGGATTTAGTCAAAAAGTTCTGAAATTTTTTATACACGCCAATCCAATTGAGATCTTTATTTGGACAAACTTTTAGATAGAACTTCAAACATATATTCTTGCAACAAAACTGGAATCGCAAGTCAGAAGTTACTAAAAACGTTGGATCTCTTTCAGCAAAAGTCATAAGAACTAATGTACCCAAAGCCTTTCTCTCATAAGCAATTGCTGCTGTGTTTTTGAGCTTACGGAAATGGAAAATAATGGGGAGGCTATTTGTTATAATTTATAAGCATCCTACTTTTTCTATACTATTAAGATAAAGACAATGTTTATTAATATTTAGGGTGCAGTTTTAAAGATGAGTTTCTCTTTTTTCATGTTTGATGGAAAAATACTTTCGCTCATTGATAAGATCATCAGAATACCTTTTGTCTTTATTGTTCTGATAGAAACATAGAGAATAGCTATGAAACTCTCTGATTACATATTATTTGTGGGTGTGGATGAATGTGGTTGTGGCTGGGTAGGTGAGGATGTGGGCGTGGTTGGGTGGGTGTTCGTGTCGGTGTAGCTACCATATTCATCTGACACCCACCCACACTCGCACTCACACTCTTTTGATTTCTGTTGATTTCTTGTGATTTCTACTTGATTTCTAGTATGGAAATCAGTTTGTTCTCCCTTGGCAAACATGATAATCATTGATAAAATTATTTGTAATTGAAATGTTGTTTATTTCGAATAAAAGAAAGTACAAAGCAAACGGGTCCTACATTAAAATCTGTCATGAAATTTGCTAAAAAAGAAAAATAATGGTATAAGATAAAATAAAATATATACGTTAGTAGAAAGTCAGTTTGGTATCAATATAATAAATTCATAAGAGTATGTTTAAATGTATGCGATTTTAAGTATAAACAAAAATGTGGCCATAAGGCCGGCAAGTGTGAATGAATAACCATGGGATCGCCAGGTACCATTGCAGTAATCTTTGTCTGAACAGCAAGATACTCCAGTTCCAAAAACCCAAGGAGTAGCTTCGCAAAGAGCACATGATCTTGAAATTATACCAGCAGTTCCTATTTTCTAAGCAAGAGAATCAAGCAATATTTAAAAAGCAAAAAAAAGCAACTGACTTACCGTACATGAGAAAATACAACTAGTAGTCTGAGTTACGCCTGAGCCTGTTGAGTTAAATGGATCATTACAGCCGGCGCTACCCAAGACACAAGTGTAGCAGGCTAAGGATGCCACCATCGGTAATAAAACTTTGAAGAAAGACATCAATAGAATATTCAATACATTATACTTACTCAAAACAAGAAAAGTGCTAATGGCAGCCTGTTTCATTTGTATTTCGACTTGAAATTTGTATAAAAGAAATATCTAAAAATTATAGCAGTAAATGATTTTTTTCTCAATAAACTTCGTTTAATTTATACTCCCTCCGCACTTGAATCGAAGAACATTTATGTACACTTTCATGTGACTTTTTTCTGCTTGTTCAATAGAAGAATGTGTTATACAGTAGTGATAAGAAATATAAAAGAATATGAATCTATTGATTGCTGATTTCTTACAGTGCACACACATATCATCAACAAACACAGACAAAAATTCTAGCGGCAATCAGTGCATTTTTTCATTCAAGTGCGTCTCTTGAAATTGAATCGACAAAATACAAATATTTCAGACGAAACAGTAGAAAAAGCAATTTAATTTACTAGCATAATAAAAGTGATAAAATTAATGGTATCAAATACTATTCAATATATATTGTACTTATCTAGACAATTTGTCTTTATTATAGAACAGCATGATTGTTATGGTTTCGTACTGTTACAGTTTTCTTATGGATATTAACAACTTTACTCTAATCTTATTTATAATATACATAGACGTTTGTCTTGAATTAAAAATATGTTTTTTTCTTCTCAATGTTCTTGGAAATATTTCTATATTTATCTTTATAATTATTATAAATACATTAGTTAACTATTTTGGTATATTTCGATTTTTATGAGTGTTATGTACTCTACTCGTTCATACAGACATTTACCGTTCTTCATGTAAGAATTCATGTTACTGTTCATGACCAAATAGTAGACAGCATTCATAATGTTTCGATGAAATTTAAATTCGTATTATTTTATTTTCTTATACATTATTTATGTTTTTCACTCCGTTTCAACTGTGTGTTCTGCGCATTCTCAAATATTCTTTATTGCCAGTGAATACTATATGTTAAATTATTTTTGTATTTTATTTCTTTTCAATCAACTATCGATAATGTTTATCATTATACTATCTACCCACGCCAACAGCAAACGGTGTAGACGGCGTTAAAACGTGTTTAAAAAAGCATTTTTATTGTTATAAGGCGTTTAAACATGTTTTTCTATACAATTTCCTCTTTTTACCTATTTTTCACAGTTTATTTTTACATAGACTGTGAAAAAAACACTTAAAAACGTCTCTTTTTCCTTCATCGTCATTTATGAAAAATAGATTAAAATAAAAAAACTTGCATAACTATTTTGTAACAAGTGTATGATGCGCGTTATCACTCACTAATTATCACTCAGTAATAAATGGCAATCTTAACGTGCTAATACTGATAGTTAGTGGTAATTTGTTAATTTCTTATCCTACAATACTTTGACTTAAAGAAAATATCTAAACGAGAGATATAACAATTATTATTGATTGAACAAACAAAGTAGTGTCGAACACATAGTTAATATTACTATTTACCGTTAGTTAGTGGTAAGTGACTAATAATTAAAATGCTTATATGCTATGACGAATGAAAAATAAATATTTAGGTACACTATCTATTGTCAGTATCCAGAGATTTTCAGCGAAAGAAAATCTTTCTTCTAGTAATAGACAAAGCTAAAGTCTAAAGAGAACTATGATAATCATAGCGATGCTAAACAACATCAGTCCCTCGATACATTTTTGATTCATTATGTTTTTAAAAAACATACTTTCAACAAGTGATATTATATTGACTTGCTCAGTGATCAATATGAGATAATCTTACTCAACGTCGCTTTACATTTCTTGAGAAGCTTAGCACTCGTTTAGTTGTATTGAGCGAACTTTATTAACTAGTAAACGAGTGATATTACTGATAAAAAAAACAACATGTTAGGAAAAAATCGTTGATGTAAGTATATATGTTGACATATCATCATTCCTGTATAAATCATTCCTTGATCCGCTACTAAAACAGTATTCGAAACCTTTTCATTTAATCTTTTTGTTAAGCCTAAATATGCGAGTACTTGCCTACGTTGGCTTATAATATAAATGAAATGAAAAAAATTGTCACCGTACTTTATATCTATAAAAATTATTTTATCGATTTCTCATTTATTCAAATGTGGTAAATGAACATTTTACTGTGGGCTGGAAAATGAAAAAAAGAAAGGATTTTTTTAAACGATTTCTCATTTATATAATTGTATTAAATGAAAACTTTACCGCAGGTTAGGAAAAGGAAAAAAGGAAGGTTTTTTTAAAATCTATTTCTCATTTATATAAATAAGATAAGTAAAAACTTCTCTGTAGGCTAGGAAAAAATACAGAAACGTTTTTATTTAGTCTATTTCTCATTTATATAAATGTGATAAATGAAGACTTTACTGTAAAGTTAGAAAAAGAAAAAAAGAAAAGTCTTTTGAATCCATTTATCATTGATACAAATGTATAGATAAATGATATAAATCAATATATTAATAGTTTTTTTTT